CACATATACATATATAACTGCATAAAATCAATTTAATACTTTTATTTGTCTTCATACAAAAAGGAATATCATACAAAATATAAAAGCAAGACTATATCTTATAAATTGATCTTTAAAAACAATATTCAAAAATGATAGATATACAGAATTAAAGTGCTTCTTTTTTTCTGCTTTTGAAATTCAACGTGCGATTAGAGAAGCAGCCCACAGAGAACATGTTGACAAGCTTAACTGACCTGTTGGATGTTAGAAGTTTAGTGCTTTTCTGTCTCTTTCAGGCCCGTGTAAGCAGAAATACACTAAGCAAACTGTTAATATGATGTTTTCTACATACAGTGTTTATGACTAGCTTATTATTTGGGATTAGACTGAATGCTTGGAAACAGTTTTTTTTTCTAACAGTCTCACTGAAACCTTTGAAACAATAAATCTGTTAGACCTGAAGAACGCTGCTCCTCAAATGACTCCACACTGTCATGTTAAGCAAACACAATATGTCCAGTGGCATCCGAGACATCCCAAAACCCAGAAAAAAAGTCTTGTGCTTCGTTGTAGCAGAAGGTCAGAATGGGGCACTTCATCTTGCAGTTTTGTCTTTGATGGATTTGAGTGTCTTAGTGGTCAGCTGGAACGTGTGAGAAGAAGGGAGGAAGGAGGGTGTGAAACGCTCCAAACCCAGTTAGAGAGAGAGAGAGAGAGAGAGAGAGAGAGAGAGAGAGAGAGAGAGAGAGAGAAGAGAAGTCTGGGCCAGAAGTGGGCACAAGGGGCCGGGGTTAATGGGTAACAATGGAGGCTCGGGGGGGCTCAGGAAGCCGGAGGACCTTCTCTCACCTGTATTCCACAAAAGTACAGTCATCGTCTTTCATTGGCTGGAACTCGGGGTCTGTGTGTGCGTCCTCTTTCTCTTTGACTGGTGAGATACAGAAGGTCGTTCAGATAAATGTGTTCAGTAGAAACAATAAAACACTGAATATTTTGTGTTGGGTTTGTTCAATAAAAGCAAACTGTAACAATGAGTCATGTGCCATTAAAATAACATGAGAAAACAAGGGAAAATTGTGTTTGGTTGATTAGTTCGTTGTTGTCACAATGCTTCTTGGCAATGACTCTTATATCAGGCAGCTGATTGGCAGCACCTGGGGCCACCAGAAGCTCAAAACAAAAATCAATAACAACAAAATAAGCTGTTTGGAAGAAGAGCGATTTGGCAAATTTTTTGATGTGCACAACCCACACACTTAGCTCTACTGTTCACCACAAAAATGCATATTCCTTACAAAGGTGGCACAATTTAAATGGGAAATTACCAGGCTTTTCAAAGGTATAAGACTTATCGAAATAATCAACCAAATATAAATTTTCTTACTTTTTGTAAGTATATATGTATATTTAGTGGTTAGGATTTAGGTTTGTTAGATATTTGTTAAAAAATGATAGTATTCACAGCATCAGGAAATGTTTTATGGGTGTGATGTTTTAAAGTCAGTAAGAAACTGTATTGCATGCAGTTTGCTGTTTCACTTCTATGCAGCTGTGTCTAGTTGTAATTTTTAAAAATAAAACTGTCATGTTGGAATGGAAATGATGTATTATTTGTTATTTTGTTCTGAACTTAGAGTAGTAAGATAGAAACAGTGCATACTCAAGTATTTATTTATCGCAATATTAAGCACTGTTATCACACATCGCTGGTTTTCCTGATACTGTGCAGCCCTAATATATATAT